TGTGCTTAAGGAAAATTACCCCAGTAACAGTATAGAGATACTGAAGTAAAGAGAGACTGGAGCCAGGGAGAACAATTAGGAGGCTATTGTGACAATGTAGATGAAAGATGATGAATACCTGAACTAAGGTGGTGGTTATAGGAGTAGAGAGAAGGGGTTGGATATAAGGATGTTGTGAAGGCAAAAATGGCAGGTTTGGCAACTGATTAGATATGTGGGATGAAGAGAGTGAGGGGTGAGGATAAGGCAGAAATAATGAGCCTGGCCGACTAGAAGGATTGTAATGTCTTTGACGGAAATGAAGATATTTGGAAGAGGGGAGGATTTGGGGGGAAAGACAATGAGTTCTGCTTTGGACCTGTTGAGTTTTAGATGTTAGGAATCCAATTTGAAATGTCCAACAGTTAATTTCAGGATTGAAGCTGAGGGGTTAGACCACACACACACACACACACACACACACACACACACACACATATATTACATATATCTTACATATGTATAAACATATCTATATGTGAGTCATATGCATGGAGATGACAGTGAAACCCATAGGTGCTAATGAGTTTATGAAGAAACAGTGTAGATGAAAAAGAGAAGAGGCTGAAGACAGAACTCCGGAGAACCCACAATTGTGGGGTATGGTATGGATAATGAGTCAGGAAAGGAGAATGGGAAGGAGCAACTGGACACATATCAGGAAAATAGGGAAGAGTAACATCATGAAAACCCAGAGAGAAGACAGTGATCTACAATGTCAGAAGTAGCAGATAGATCAAGAATGATGAGGAATGTTAACAGACCATCAGATTTGTCATTAAGAAATCATTAATGGTTTTGGAGAGGGCATCTTCAGTTAGAGTGATGAGATCAGAATCAAGATTATAGAAGGTTAAAGTATGAGGAGAAGTAGAGGCAGTGAGTGTTGACAGCTTTTTCAAGTGTTTGGCTGCCAAAGGGAAAGAGGGATGTAGGAAGATATCTTGAGGGGATGGTAGAGTCTAGTGAAGGTTTGTTTGGAAAGAGTGAGACTTTGGCATGTTTGATGGTAGTAAGAAAGGAACCAGTAAATAAGAATTACTAAGAAAGGCAAAAGGTACTGAAAATAAAGGTGTATTTTAGCCAAGTTCACAGACTATCTTGAAATCTATCCACAGTCTGCTTGGGGATCCTTGGGCCCTAGGTTAAGAACATCAGCCCTGGAGAAACTCTGAGGCACCTTCTAATTCAGACTCTGTATCCTGAGCCCAACCTTATTTAAATGGTCATAAGTTAAAATTCACAATGAATAATGAATGATGTTTCCTGTACATGACATCTGGAGAAGGCTTAGTACTAGTAACGAAAGGAAGTCCTGTAGCATGTGCTCGTTCTAGGGTCTTAGTGCTGTTTGCAAACTTTGCTTCTGAGATTTAAAGCATAAGCAACCATCTATATGGGTCTAGGTAAAAGGACAATTGCCTAGATTGAATCTAACTTTTCAGGGTCCTTCAGGTCCATAGGACTGAGGAGAGTTTGGGGTAGGCTATGTACCACCAAGATCATTGTCAACTGTGGCTCACCTTGACTAAGACCAGCTTCAGTCAAATAGCCAAGCGACTTATGTTCAAAAGTTGTCATTCAATGATTTGGCAAAGTAACAATAACTATCCTTCATACAGTGCTTTAAAGTTGGTAATATGCTTTCCTCAAAAACCAGTGAGGAAAGTGCTACAGTTTTCATTATCCCTTTTTTATAGATAAGGAAACTGAGGTATAGGAGGGAGGTATGTGATTTGTTAGTGTAAGAAATATAAATAGGGCAAGATGACAGAGAAAAGGCAGGGACTTGCCTGAGCTCTCCAAAATTCCCCTCCAAACAACTTTAAGTAACTTCTCAAAATGAATTCTGGAACAAGAGAACCCACAAAAGGATGAGGTGAAATGATTTTCAAGCCTAATATGACTAATAAGATCAGCAAGAGAGGTCTGTCTCACTGGAGTGAGAGTGGGACACAGTCTAGTGCAGGCCAGGACCTAGCAAACCAGCAGCAGGCTTTGGGGGCTACTATATCAGCAGTGGCAGCACAACTTACCAGCCCACAGATGGTAAAAGGGTCAGACAGCTGGTCAGAAGAAGATTACAGGGGTCCTTTTACTGGCACTGGGTGCAGAACTTTGTTGCATTGCCTATACATGAATCCGAGTTGCAATCCTTGGTCTCAGTCCCAAGGTGAGGAGGAGTACTAGCATGCCAGAACTTGCTGCCCTAGGGAGTGGGAACCCTCATCACAGTTCCAGGGCAGAAAAGAGTGCTTGTAGTTGCTCAAAGACCAGAGCCCAGGCCAGGAGAGTAGTAAAGTAAAGGTGTATTTACTACACCTTTACTTATATCATGCCACCTTGGAAAAAATGAAAACTTGCAGATCACCCTGAACTAGCTCTGAAAACAGTTGCATAAAAATCTGAAGCTTGGGACAGTGCCTCTTCTACCCCAGAAACAGAGTTCAACTTTAACATCAAGTTAAAAATCAAGAAATAGGCTGGAAAAATGGGCAATCAACGAAAAAGAACCTGACCATAGGAAATTACTATGGTGACAGGGAAGATCAAAGTGTAACTCAGAAGAAGACAACAAAGTCAAAATTGCTACATCTGAAGCCTCAAAGAAAAATGTGAATTGGTCTCAGTCCCAAAAAGAATTACTGGATGAGGTCAAACAGGATTTTAAAAATCAAATACCAGAGGTAGAGAAAAAAAAATTGGTAAAAGAAATGAGAGTGATGTAAGAAAATAATGAAAAAAAGCCAACACCTTGATAAAGGAGGCAAAAAAAAAATAATGAAGAAAATAACACCTTAAAAAACAGAATAGGCCAAATGGTAAAAGAGGCACAAAAATCCACTGAAGAGAAGAACTCCTTAAAAAACAGAATTGGCCAAATGGAAAAGGAAGTACAAAAGCTCACTGAAGAACATTCACAACATGATTAATAATGGAAATATGTCTTGCATGACTGCATATGAATAACCTATACCAAATTTCTTGCCTTCTCAATGAGGGGGGAGAACAAGGAGGGAAGGAGAGAATATGGAACTAAGAATTTTTAAAAATGAGTGTTAAAAATTATTTATATGTACTTGAGGGTAAAATAAAATAAATATATTATTAAATCTTAAAAAAAATATAAATAAGGGAGGGGCCACCAGAGCTATTCCAGAGAGTATGAAATTTTGAGGGCCATGATACTGTCTGCATACAGTCCATCAGCAGTCTAGAAACAATAAGCTTTGTCACCGCTTGCCAAGAATAGTTGGTTAAAAGAGGAAGCTACCAGAGGTAGGCTTGGGTGAACTTTTATCTCAATCTAGGTGGCACAGTGGATAGAAAACTACATCCAGAATCAAGAAGACCTGAGTTCAAATCCAACCTCAGGCACTCACTAGCTGTGTGATCCTGGGCAAGTTTTTTAATCTCTGCCAGAGGCAGAACACTGAACTTGGAGTCAGGAAGACGTGAGTTCGAATTTGACCTCAAAGACTAACTGTGTGACCCCAGGTAAGTCACTTAACTTCCAGTTTGCCTTAACCCACTGGAGAAAGAAATGACAAACCCCTCCAATATATTTGCCAAGAAAACCCCATATGGGGGTCATGAAAAGTCAGGAACAATTTGACAAGAAAAACAACAACAACAACAACAATGTATGAACCATGAAGAAGTCTACTTAACCTCTGTCTACCTTAGTTTCCTCATATACAAAACATCTACAGTCCAGGATTGTGAGGATCAAATGAGATAATATTTGTAAAGCTTTTTTTTTTTTAATCTAAGACAGTGTGAGATAGAAATGCTATCTATTATCTCCCCTGTTTTCTTTTTTCTTCTTTTTTTTCCTCCACTTGGCAGTCTCTCAGCTGGAGCCCTATATCAGTGTCTCTGTCTCCTCTTCAGGGTGGTGATTTTCCCCTCCCCCATGATTCATGCTGCTTGCTCTAGGAACGACAGTTCTTAGATGCAGCTCTGCCCAAGGGAATAACAGCACTCTTCATATCTTTTTAGTAAGAGGAAGATCATACAAACCTACTTCCACTCCCTAATATCTTTTGTGCTACTTAAGAGTCCCTGGAAAGAAGGAATGGGGAAAAAAAATGATATTACCTTCAGTCTCTGTTCACTGGTGTATACTAGAAACCATGGTGTGCCCCTAAGTCAGTTATGCAGAAAGGATGTGGTTGAGATGAAGAGGCAATGTGACTTATTTGCCTGGGCTCTCCTTTGTATAGACTTCTCTGACAGTCTGCTGCAGAACTTGGAGGCCTTTCCCTGTGAACCTGGGGGCCTGTGCACATAGGTGAAGAGATGTGAAATGTATGGGTAAGAGAAAAATATATTTTATACACACACATACTCAGTTTGTTCTAATGGAAGTGAACTGTCTGGGATGTCAGAATACGGTCTATTTAGAGACAATATGGTGTAGTGGAAAGAGAACCAGTTTTGGAGTTAAAAGACCAGGGTTCAAGTCTTAACTTTTGTTACTCCTTGTGTGACCTTGGGCAAATCACTCTCCCTCTCTGGGTCTCAGTTTGCTCATCTGTAAAATGAGGGGATTGGACTAGTTTCTGAAATCTCTTTGGAGCTCTAAATATCTCATTCAATGAAATTCTAGAGTCTAGAACCTAGACACTGGTGTAGTAGAACAGTAGCTGTGTTTCAGAGAATTTTGTCTGCTAGGCTTTCTTTGAGTACTGGCTAAATTTTTATTATCAGGAGTAAAAAGTGAAAACTGCGCAGACCAAAATGTTTACTAGAAAACTTCACAATGTTCCTTTGGGAAGTGACAGAATATGAATGCTATCACAAAAAAGATTTTGGAAGCAATACTGTGTGTTTTGAAGAATGAAGTTTTATCAGGAATCTCATTTTTCGGGGGTGGGGATAAAGTAGTTAGTTGGTGTTTTTTTGTGGTTGTTTTTTGTTTTTGCCTTTTTCTGAAAGCTTTTTAAAGAACTTTGAAACTGAGCATAGTTGATGTTATGCTAAGGGAGCAATGCATTCAAGCAGCAGAAATTTCTTTAATACCTTCTGAGCACAATAATGCCATGCTAGGTCACTTGGGGTAAAAGTTAGAAATGATATAGATTCTCCAAGAGCTGACACACTAATTGGTGGTAGTAATAGGGAAAGGGTACAGAATCATGTATCGTCCTACTATATAAATAATTATAGTACAGAGGAGAGTGAGAAGTGTAAAAGGGAGATCCAGGCGTGTGTATTTAAGAAGAGAATGATGAATTTTACACGAGTGGGAGGGTTAAGGGGTGGGAGTGGCAATGGATATATCAGGAAAGGTTCCAGGGAGGAAATGTCACCTTTTGGGGCTTGGAAGAAAGAAGAGTCTTCAAAAGTTTTAGATGGCAGGGAATCCATTCCAAGCATGGGATGGGGTGGTGGTGGTAATGGTGATAGTGGAGGGGTAAGGAGTAAGACAGTATGATCAAAGAGACAGAGAGGGCAGAGTGTGAACAGGTGATAGTGAATAATCCAGTTTTTTGGGGTGAAGAGGAATAATGTAAGGCCAGAATAGTATATCTGTTGTTGTTCAGTCATTTTTCGGTTGTGGTCAACTCTTCATGATCCCATTTGAAATTTTCTTGGCAAAGATATTGGGGTGGTTTGCCATTTCTTTCTTCAGTTCATTTTACGGATGAGGAAACTGAGGCACACAGGGTTAAGTGACTTGTTCAGGGTCATGCAGGTAATAAGCATCTGAGGCCAGATTTGAGCTCAAGAAGATGAGTCTTCTGACTCCAGGCCTGACACTCTATCCACTGCACCACCTAACTGTCCACAGAGAATAGTATATTGCAGCCAGATTATAGAAGGTCTTGAATGCCAGATGAGGAGCTGATACTTTATTAAGTAGGTAGTAGGGGACCACAGAAAGTGTTTGAGCGACAGAGTAATCTCATCAGAATGGTTATTAAGAAGATTCCTTATGCAGCAGTATATGGAGGATATGGAGGAGAACTGGGAACAGCAGAGGCTGGAGGTATTTTACTGAGTTACCGGTTACATTTATTTGAGCATGTCACCCAAATATTTATTAAATAAGGCTCCATAGCAAGAAGACAGGTGAAAAACATGTGCTCTGTCCTTGAGGTGCTTGTTGTATAGTAAAAAAGATTATAATTGCATACAAAATAATTATAAAAATGAGGTAAAATAGCAATAAGTGCAAAGGTGATATTTAAATAGAGTTAAGTCAAGATTTAAGGGAAAAAAAAACAACATTGGAATCTAGCTGGGTGGATCAGTGACTCTTCATGAAAGAGGTACCACCTGAACTGGATGTTGTAGGAAAAAAAGGAACCTACCAGAAGCATCTATGTTTCTGTAAGGCTGGAAGGAATTGAGGTCCTTACTATCCATGAAAGGAACGTTTGAGCAGACGTTACTGCATTCAGAATCAATCCAAAGCCGAGTCGGATAAACAGACATATGGGCCTGTCAGTCCTTTCTGACAGTGCAGCAAGCTGCTGGCCAGGAAGGAATAGCAATGCTTCAGAGGCCCCAGTGTGGAAACCATTGTATGTTAGCCTCCCTTCTAGTGCTGACACTCCGTAATAGACTGAGGAAGTGTGCCTTCTGTGACACTCCATTTGCATAACTTTGATAAGCAAGGTCCAGGAAGTAGAATGCAAGAGGCTGCTTCTGGGGGCGGGAAGCTCACCCCGTAAACTGTTTCATTACTGTTCTTCTGAAGGAATGAATGAAAAAGCATTATTAAGTTCTTACTATGTGCCAAGTAAGTGTAAGGGGTACAAATGGAAAAAGCAAGACATTCCCTGCTCTCAAGGAGCTAACACTCTCAACTGGGAAGGAAAACACCTAAAAGAAAGCAGCCATAGGATGGATGAAAAGGCTTGGGTCTAAAGGGATTAGCTGCTGGGCTTATGACAAAGCCCAGAGGACCTTAGGTTGCACCCTGAGGTTAGAGGGCAGTGCCAAGGGTAGGCAGGGCATGGAGGAAGGGCAGATGGTAAGGCCTGCAGGATGGAAAGCTAGGCTGGATGTGCCTTTTACAAAATTGAGGGCTCAACATATACCTGCTAAAGGAAGGAAGGAAGGAAGGAATACTGGAAGAAAGTGAAACTCTAGCTCAGCTTGTATAATAGGAATATTGGTCACATTGCTTCTAAGAGATGAGAGTCATTACCTGCAATGGAGAGGAAGCTAGTAAGGCCTGCTAATACTCCATCTTCCAGAAAGAACTAGAATTGGAGGCTGCCATCTCATATAAACAATGTAAACATTCTCTTGTTATATAGCCAGAGCTAGGGCTTACCTTTCTTCTAGAATCCATTCATTCCTTGTTATTTTCAAGTCATAGCCAGTCTGTCTTTCCAGACTGACTTCAGATTACTGTCCTTCACTCCCTTGACCTTCCTGCCCAACTGGCCTGCCTGCTGTTCTGACGTACAGAATATTCTGTCTCTCACCTTTGCCTTTGCACAGACTGGAACACTGTCCTTCTTCACTGCTATCTCTTGGAATCCCTCTGTCCCTTCAGGCCATAACTTGAGTGTCATCCCCACAAGGCCTTTCCTGATCCTTTCTAGTTGTTAGCTTTCTCCTTCTTCCCATCCAAAGGACTTTGTATATATGTTAGAAACCATGTTTCCTTCCTCCTCTCCAATAGATTATAAACTCTTTGATGGGGGAGAGACTGTCATATATGTGTGTGTGTGTGTGTGTGTGTGTGTGTGTGTGTGTGTGTGTGTGTATGTATCCTTGGTGCATAGAACAGTATTTTGTACAAGGTAGGTGCTTAATTCATGCTTATTCAATAGAAGTGAACCTATTTTATCCTGGTATTTATTGTCTTCATATTATCTGGCTCCAGATATGCCAGTGGTTACTCATTGCTTTTCCCATACTTTCATGTATGTCTTTTGTCATTCATAAATGTTAAAATTCTGTCTTCTCTTCTTTAGTTCACTTTAAACAGACTGTTTCTCCCCCTTTCACTGTGACTGCTAGGATCACAGATTCATACAGTTTTAGAGCTGTAAGGGTTTTTAGTCATTATCCAGGGGCGGGGAACCTGTGGCCTTGAGACCTTATGTGGCCCTATAGGTCCTCAAGTGCAGCCCTTTGACTGGCCTTGAGACTATATGTGGCCCTATAGGTCTTCAAGTGCAGCCCTTTGACTGAATTCAAACTTTACAGAACAAAACCCCTTAATAAAAGGTTTGTTCTGTGAAGTTTGGAATCAATCAAAGGGCCACACTTGAGGACCTAGAGGGCCATATGCAGCCATGAGGCTGCAGGTTCCCCATCCCTGAATTCAACCCTTTCCCCTCTCCCCTATTTTGTTGTTCAATTGTTTTTAGTTATATCCAACTCTTCATGACCCCATTTAGGATTTTCTTGGCAAAGATACTGGAGTGGTTTGCCATTTACTCCTCCAGCTCATTTTACAGATGAGGAAACTGAGGCAAACAGGGTTAAGTGACTTGCCCAGGGTCACACAGCTAGGAAGTGTCTGAGGCTGGATTTGAATTCAGGATGATGAGTCTGAGTCTAGACCCAGCATCAATCCACTGCATCACCTAGCTGCCCCTCTCTCCTCAATTTTACAAATGAGAAGACTGAAGATCAGACGAATAAAATGATTTAACCAAACCAAGAACACACACTTGACTAGCACAGTGCCTTGCCTAGCGGGAAATTAACATTTTTAAAAAATTGAACTGAATCACAGGCAAATCCAGGACCAGAAGCTAGGTTTCTACATTCCCAGTTCAGTGTTCTATCCTGTACACACCACCCTGGTTCTCTGGTTTTAGCTACATTTGTGTCTGGGTTTTAAAGTCTGACCTTGATTTGAAATAAGTATATTGTATCCAGAGCTTGTTACAGTTTTGGTGGAAGGGAGGATTGTTTTTTCCCAGGATCAAGAAAAATCAATGATTCAGCATTAGCATAGTCTCTCATGAATAGTAGGAGCATGATACATGTTTGATGCCTTAAATTTTCCAAGTCACTCAGGCTTGAAACTTTGGAACCACTTGTGACTCTTTGTTCTCATGGCCATTACCACTGTACTTCAGGCCCCTCTTTGCGCCTCCCCCACCCTTGTCTCTCCATGTATTTTTTTATTTCATTAAATAATTTCCAATTACGTGTAAAAAAGTCTAGCAATCTTTATTAAAAAAAAAACTTTTGAGTTCCAAATTCTCTTTCTCTCTCTTTCTCCTCTCCATTCTCCTTGAGAAGGCAAGCACTTTGATTCAGATTATAAATGTGAGGTCAGGCAAAACGTATTTCCATATTAGCCACGTATGGAAAAAAAAAACCATACCCCACAA